GCCGATATGTGAGAAAGGGAAATTTTAAATTTTAGTACACATACGGAGGATACCACATTGAATTTTAATGTCTACTATTGATCATCTTCCAGAAAGATTACAGCTTCTTTCCTCCAGAAAGATTATTGCTTCTTATAAGCATCACATTGACAATGAGCTCCAAGTTAGCTTGTTGAAATCAGGCCAAAAAACATTTTAAATTATTAGCCACCCTATTTCTAGCTCTACTGCCAAATAATTATGTAATCTAACAGAATTTACTTAATATTATCATTTTTTTCTCTTTGCATGTAGTAAATGTCTATAAAATGTACTTAATATTTTTAGCAAGGGTAGCATGAGATGATGAATATTGGGAGACTTTTAACAGTGCCTCGCATATTATTTCCCCTTCCTTCTGTCATGTTACATAGAGGGTAGAGACCAATAGAATTTATTTGGTTTTGGCTGATAGATAGGCACCTTTGACTGTCAGCAATTCAACAATGCTGCCAAATAAACGCATATTAAAAGCAAAATAAGATATAGTTATAAAGTAACCAGAAAATTTTAAATTTTAAAAATAGCAATGCCAAGTTTTACCAAGGATGTAGAATACCAGGACATTTCATGTGTTTTTAGTGGGAATATAAGTTTGTTGTCCATTTTGGAAACTGTTTAATAGTATCTACTAAATTTATATAAGCATGTACCCTTTGACACAGGAATTCTATTTCTAGTTATTCTCCCAATATAAATAAAATGATTTGTCCACAAAAGAGTTGTAAAAAATGTTCAAAAGGAGGCAGAATTATCCAATCATTGTATGTTTCTATAAAGAAATATTAACCAGTAGTAAAAAAAGATTATAATATGCAAATATCACCACAAAACAAGGTGGACACAAATGGTTACATAATCTATGATTCCATTTACATTAAGTGTAAGAATGCTAAACCAATCTGTAACTGTTGAGATGAGAAAGTAGTTGCTACTCAGAGCAGACAGGAAATTGGTAGACAAGAAGGCCACAGTAACTTCCTGCAGTAATTAAAATAGTTTATACTTTGATTGCTGTGATGGATACATGGGATGTATATGATAGTCAAAACATATTGAATACTTAAAAATCTGTGTAGCTTATTTTGTTATTATATTTCAATTATAATAATCAGTTCTACTCTGATTTATTAGAATTAGAAAGTTATTTCATAAAAATATACTTAACATAAAATTTGCACAGCTTTTCTCTCATTTTTAAGTCTTTGATAGCCCTTGAATTGATTCAATTTTATTTTTTAACTGTAAATAACTACTTGTCCAAATACCATTTATCCAAAAACCAACCTTACTCATCATGCAGTGATACCTCATTCACATATGGTGTTATCCGTATGTGTTTGCTTGTGGACTTTATATTATGGGCCACTATTTTATTGGTGTGTTTTTGCGTCATTTTCAACTCTCTTAATAACAATAGCTCTACGATGGTTCTTGAAAACTTATAAAACTCTCAGAGGATGATTACTATTTATTCCTTAACCACCTTCATCTCCCACCATTTAATAGTTATTTCTACACCAAAAAGAAAAAGTCAAGTACCATGTGATTTCACACATATGTGGGTTATAAAACTGAAAGCAAGTAATGAACAAATAAGAGAAGCAAAGAAACAAAAACTTATATATGTAAGCAACAGGGTGGTTGTTACCATAGGGAAGGGGAGTGGGTAGAAAAGAGCAGAAGGGACCTAAATATGTGGTGCTGGAAGATTCGACTTTGGGCTGTAAACATAATGCAATAAATATACAGATGATATATCACAGAATTGTACACTGGAAACTTACATAATTTTATTAACTAATGTAACCCCAATAAGTTTAATAAAAATAGCTATTGCTAAACATTTATTATATATTCATCAAAGGCCCTGCCCCGGTCATTTTCTTAATCACACTCAGCAGAATACCTTGAGTTCTACTTAATAGAGAGATTAATAGCTTCCAGACCCTCCACTTCTACATTTATCAGCATCATCAATCACTCTTGTAGCCCTTTTCTGGTTTCAGTGGATGATTGTATTCCTGTGGGTACAAAAAAACTGCAAGTGTCATCTGAATCCCATCTCTACCCATTTTCTCAGCCATTTTATACCATCAATTTCACTTTCCTTTTATGTTATTTTTCTGTTGAATATGTTTTGTCTCACATTTTGACCACAACTTTAGTATTTTATTTTATTTTTAAAAGGAATATATTTTAAGAATACAAATTAAGAATACAATGACAAAACATTTCAGTGTTTGCTGTAAGTATAACATCTTACAAAGTTCACATTGTACTATAAATAATATTGTAAATACATTTATCAGTATAGATAACTTATCAGTAACTCACCTCATGTCATTAAATATTCTTTTAATATATGAGTACTTCTATAGAGAATGTACCATATAGATGCACCATATATCCTTCCTTGCTTTATTAACACTTTGAAAATATCACAAGAGCCTGTGGTTTTGTTTTAAATGGACAGAATAAGAATGAAAAGACTCTTCTTTCCACTCTAGGGTTCAGTATCTTGTGAATATATGTGTACATGGTGACATAATCCCTTTCTTGTCATCAAAAAATGGATAAATATATTGCCCTCTGTTCAACATTTATGTTTTCAACTAAATTATTTCTCTTGATGGTTTGTCATGATACATGTACAAAATGGCTAATTTTTCTCAATGTCTTCATAGTATTTCCAAATTATACTCTATTTTATTAACTACTCTCTTTTTTCTATTGTCTAACATGACCATTCCTTATTTTACTCATGTTCATTATACTCTTCTGTTAAAGTTTCAAGAAATTGTAGTTTTGATTTCTAATCTCCATGGATGTATGTTTTCTGAAATACCAACCAGTAGGCGCAAGTCTCTATAGACAGTTAAATCAACATTTTACATTCAAGTCTTATGTATGTGATTACTGATTAGAAGTTGTCTAATCCAATGAGGATATACAAACCAACATTTCTAAAAAGAATAAATCAGTTTTCTCTAAACCTAAATATAATATATTCTTTATACTCATCTGTTCTTTTTCCGGGGTATTATTCATGCTTTGGTATATATTACTCTTACCAGAGTACTCTCTCATGCTTTGGTATATATTACCTAAACCAGAAATGAAAGTTATCCTTGAATCTACTGTCTTATAGCAAATCAGGGGGGAAAAAGTACAGATTTTATTTCCTTAATGCCTTTAAAACTATCTCCTCTGATACCTCCTCACTCTTACTGTCTTATTACCCTGTTTCCTTATTTCTGAACTTAATTGCTAGATGAGCACTTTAATTGGTCTCTATGAAGCCATTCAGTCTCTCCCACTCTAACAATTCAAGCAGTACACTGCTATCCGAGTGATCTTTCTAAAATCTGGAGTCATTAGTACTTCTTGGCAAAGAAAAATTTTAAGAATTATTTTGCTTCTAGATAAAGCTGATTTATTTAATTTCTCATGAATAAAATTGCCTTCTGTTACAGTCAGAATTGTAAAACTATTCCCTCAAAATCATCCTCTGGTCATTCAATTAATCACTAATCCAGGTACTGTTGTGAAGGGACTGATTTCCATTCATTGACCTTATTTCAATTAGTGTAATGTTCTCCAGGTCCATCTATACTATTGCAAAGAGTAACATTCTCCCCTATATATTTTTTAATGGCAGAGTAGTATCCCATTGTGTAGATGTCCCATGGTTGTTTTCTCCATTGATCTACAGATGGTCATTTGGGCCACTTCCATATCTTGGCAATTGTAAATAATGCTGCAATGAACACGGGGATACTCCTGTCTTTTGAAATCATGTTTTGGGTTCCTTTGGATATATTTCCAGAACTGGGATCGCTGGGTCAAAAGGCAGATCCATTTTTAATTTTTTTAGTTCCTCCATGCTTCTTTCCACAGGGGTTGCACCAGTTTGTATTCCCACCAACAATGCAAAATGGTTTCCCTTTCACCACATTCTTGCCCACACTTGGTGTTTGTAGATTTATTGATGATCACGATTCTGACAGGTGTGAGATGATATCTCACTGTGGTGGTTTTTATTAGCATTTCTCTGATGATTAGTGACATTGAGCATCTTTTTATGTATCTATTGGCCATCTGTATGTCCTTTTCTGAGAAGTGTTTAGTGAGGTCTTTGGCTCACTTTCAGCTGGGTAGTTTGCTTCTTTGTGTTGAGTTTGGTATGTTCTTTATATTACATGTTGGATATTAATGCCTTATTAGATGTATAGGTGAATATGTTCTCCCATTTTGTGGGTTGTCTTTTTATTTTGCTGATGGTTTCCTTTGCTGTACAAAAACTTTTTAGTTTCATGTAGTCACATTTGTTTACTTTTTCTTACGTTTGCCTTGCCTATGGAGATATATCTGATAAAATATTTCTACAAACAATGTCTGAGATTTTGCTGCCTGTGTTTTCTTCAATGATTTTTATGGTTTTGGTTCTAACATTTGAGTCTTGTTTCATTTTCAATTTTTTCTTGTGTGTGGTTTAACAAAGTGATCTAGTTTCATTTTCTGTACATATCTGTCCAATTTTCCCAACACTATTTACTGAATAGACTATCTTTAGCCCTGTGTATATGCTTTCTTCCTCTGTCAAATATTAACCAACTATAAAGGTGTGGGTTTATTTCTGGGCTCTCTATTCTGTTACAGTGATCAATGTATCTGTTTTATGCCAGTACCAGGCTGTTTTTTCTTCTTTGTTTCTTTTGCTGGTGTCAACAGCAGAAGACACCAAAGAGACAGATGCTATGGAAATGTGACAGGGAAAAAAAAAGTACCAGCAACAGTATAGGCTGTTTACACTTCAAGAAAGAAATTTGCCAGTGAAAGACAGGAGTGAGACTCACCAGAAAGAAATCCTGGCATTCCTTTCCATACAGCGAGAGAAATATCTGGTGCACATACACACCACGAAGACGTCACAGCCTGACATTCAACCTCTGAAAAACCAGGGGAGAGCGCATATGCAGTCCCCCATTACCACATATCATGTAGTAGAGTTTCCCACATTTTGGGAAATTGCAGGAGTCAGCACATCTGGAGTGCAGTGGATAAGCCTTGTCCTGGAACAAACACCTTCGTGATCATGGTATCTCCCCTGCTGAGCAGTATCAGGCTGTTTTGATTACTATGGCCTTATAGTATAGTTTGATATTAGGTAGTTTGCTATAGTTTGATGATTCCTCCAACTTTGTTCTTCTATCTCAATGTTGCTATGCTGATGTGGACACTGACCTGCAGTGTCTGCATCATTATGGATGGAATGAGACATTCTCAGGGACTACCAAGTTTGGTGGAGGAAAAGGGACAGCATGGCTCTTTCTCTCAAGGGGAGCAAAAATTGAGGCTCTTGCTGTGACCGGCCTTTATTGGGTTTCTCAGCGTGTTACATGATGGTCTTCATTTACTATGCACAGGTTGCTTCAGGTGGTTACCTTTTACAGAAAACAAAAAAGCCAATGCTGCTAATCACATCACAGAAGAGGGATATTTGCAAATGAAAAGGGAAAAGTGGTTGAACCAGTTACACTCATCCTTGGAAGGTTTAGCATGGATTTTTGGAAGTTACTTTGCAGTGAATCTTTGCCACAAATCCGGGTGAGGGAGTTTGCAGCAAAAAGCAAGACTCAAAGCGGCCTAGGCCCATTGCAGGCCTGATTTCCCACAGGAGAACCTATCTGTGGGTGTGGGTCCTGTGCATCTCCGAGCAGGAACTGTGTTCATGCCATGCAAAATGGTCTCCTGCACTATGCAGGACATTTTGTAGTTCCATATAATTTTTAAAATATGTGTTCTTGTTCTGCAAAATATATCATTGGAGTCTTGATAGGAATTGCATTGAACCTATAGAATCCTTTGGGTAGAATGGGCATTTCAGTGATGGAAATTCTTCCTGTTCATGAACATGGTATGTGCTTTCACTTATTTGTATCATCTCTTTCTTCAATGTCTCATAATTTCCCAAGTACAGGTATTTTGCTTCCTTGGTTAGATTTACTCCTAAGTATTTTATTATTTTTGTAGCAATTGTCAATAGGGTTGTTTTCTTAATTTCTCTGTTAGTTGGTTATTGTCATATAAAAATGCAACAGCTTTCTGGACATTAATTTTGTATCCTGCTACTTCAGTGAAATCATTTATCACTTCTAGTAGTTTCTTGTTGGAATCTTTTGGGTTTTCTATATACAGTATCTTGTCATCTGCAAATAATGACAGTTTTACTTCTTTTTTTTCTGATTTAGATGCTTTTTATTTCTTCTTCTTGTCTGATTGCTGTGGCTAAGGCTACCAGAACTATATTGAATAAGAGAAATGAAAGTGAATATCCTTTTTCCAGATCTTAAAAGGAATGCTTGTAGTTTTTGCTCATTGAGTATGATGTTGGCAGTGGGTTTGTAATACATGGTCTTTAATATGTATAGGTATGTTCCCTCTAATCCCACCTTGTTAGGAGAGTTTTTATCATAAATCAATTATGGGCTTTAATATTTGCCTTTTCTGCCTCTATTGATAAAATCATGTTTTTTATCCTTCATTTTGTTTATGTGGCAAATCACATTTACTGATTTGTAAAATGTTGTATTAACCTTGAATCCCCAGAATAAATCCTCCTTGATCATGGTATATGATATTTTTGATTCATTGCTGTATTCTCTTTGCTAATATTTTGTTGAAGATTTTAGCATCTATGTTCATTAGGGGTATTGGCCTATAATTCTCTTTTTTTGTAGTGTCTTTATCTAGTTTTGTAATTAGAATAATACTGGCCCCATAATGAGTGTGGGGCCAGTATTATTACTTTCTCTTGAATTTGATGAAATAGTTTGAGAAAAAGAGGTGTTAGTTCTCAGAATATTTGGTAAAATTGACCTGAAAGCCTTCTGGTCCAAGGCTTTTATTTGTTGGAATTTTTTTTTTGATTATTGCTTTGATTTCATCAGTTGTAATCAGTCTATTCAGATCCTCTGATTCTTCTTGATGTAGTTTTGGAACATTGTATATTTCTAGGAATTTATTGTTTTTATAATATTTTCTTAAACTTTGTATTTTTGGGGTGTCATTTGGTACTTCTTCTCTTTAATTTCTGATTTTATTTATTTAGGTCCTCTCTCTTTTGTTGTTGAGTATGGTTAAAGGTATGTCAATCTTGTTTATCTTTTCAAAGAACCAGTTCTTGCAATCATTGATCTTTTGTATCCTTTTTAGCTTCTATATTGTTTATTTTTACTCTGATCTTTATTATTTCCTTTCTTCTTCTCACGTTGGGCTTTGTTTATTGTTCTTTATCAAGATTTTTCTTTTTTTTTGAGGTAGATCTGTAATACTATGAATTTCTCTTTTTGTGTTGCTTTCCCAGAGTCCCACAGATTTTGGATTGTTATATATTTATTTTCATTTATTTCAAGCTATCTTTTGATTTTATCCTTGACCTTTTTGTTAACCCATCATTGTTTAATAATATGTTATTTAGCTTCCATGTCTTGAGTGTTTTTCAGTGTTCTTTGATTGATTTCTAGTTTCATATCATTGTGGTTAAAGAAGATGCTTGATATGAATTCAATCTTATTAAATTTACTGAGACTTGTTTTGTGTCTTAACATGTGGTCTATCCTAGAAAACACTCGATGTGTGCTTGAAAAGTATATTTATTCTGCTACTCTGGGGTTAAATGCTCTGAAGATATCAATTAAATTTGTTTGATCTAGTGTGTTATTTAAGGCCACCATCTCCTTGTTGCTTCTCTGTCTAGAAGATCTATCCATTGAAGTCAGTGCAGTGTTAAAATCCGTGACTATGATTATATTTATGTTGATCTCTCCCTTTATGTCCATCAAGATTTGCTTCACGTGTTTAGGTGCTCCTATGTTGTGTGCGTTAATGTTTGCTAGGATTATAACCTCATATTATAATATGTGTTGGTTTGTTCCTTTTATTTATTTATTTATTTTTAGAGAGTGGAAAGCAGGGAGAAAGAGAGGGAGAGAAACATCAATGTGTGTGGTTGCCTCTCATGTACCCCCCACTGAGGACCTGGCCCTCAACCCAGGCATGTGCCTAGACTGGAAATCAAACCATTAACCCTTTGGTTTGCAGTCCGACACTCGATCCTCTGAGCCACGCCAGCCAAGGCAATTTGTTTTCTTTACCTTTATGTAGTATCCTTCTTTGTCTCTTATTATAGCTTTGGTTTTAAAGTTTATTTTTTCAGTTATGAATACTGCTATCTGAGCTTTTTTTCCATTTGTATGAAATATCCTTCCCATCCCTTTACTTCTAGTCTGTGTTTATCTCTTGATCTGAAATGGGTCTTTTGGAGGCAGCATGCACATAGGTCTTGTTTTGATATCCACTCAGTTACCTTATGTTCTTGGTTGGAGCATTTAAGCTATTTTCATTTAAGGTGATTATTGATAGATACATATTTAGTGCCATTTTATTGTTGAACTGTTTTCCTCTGTTATTTTTTCTTTCTTTCTCTTTTTCTTCTGCTTCTTAAAGTACACCCTTTAACATTTGTTTCAGTAGTGGTTTGGTATTAGCAAACTCCTTTAGCTTTTTCTTGCCTGAGAACCTTCTTTATTTTCCTCCAATTTTAAATCATAAACTTGCTGAGTAATGTAGCCTTGTTTGCACATTCTTGTTTTCCATCACCTTGAATATTTCACACCACCCCCTTCTGGCCTGAAATATTTCTGTTGAATATCAGATGACATTTTAATTTATTCTCTTTTGTAGGTAACTACCTGCTTTGTGCGTGTGTGTGTGTGTGTGTGCGTGTGTGTGGCTGTTAGGATTCTCTCCTTATCTTGAAGCCTTGTCATTTCAATTATGATGTGTCTTCATGTAGGCCTCTTTAAGTCCAACTTGTTTGGGATTTTCTGAGGTTCCTGGACTTGTGTGTCTTTTTCCTTAACTGGATTAGGGAATTTTTCAGTCCATATTTCTTCAAATAGGATCTCGGTCCCTTGCTCTCTCTCTTGTCCTTTTGGTACTCCCATGATGCTGATGTTGTTACGCTTCATGTTGTCCAAAATATTTCTTAAGCTCTACTAATTTTTTTAATTTCCTTCTTTCATTTTGCTGCTCTGCCTAGGTGCTTTGTTCTACCTTTTCTTCCAAATCACAGGGTCAGTTCTCTGCATCATTTAACCTATGATTTATTCTTTCCAGTGTTTTATTTATTTCAGATATTACATTATTTATTTTGAGTGGTTCTTTTTATGGTGTCCCTGTCTTTTTTCATGGTGCTGAGTGTCCTTATAATCATTACTCTAACTTTCTATCAGATAAATTGCTTGCCTCCATTTCTTCTGGAGAATTCTCTTGTTCTCTCTTTTGGGGTTTGTTTCTTTGTCTTCCTATTTTGGTTGCTCCTTTGTATTTTCTATCTTAGTTGTTCAAATAAGCAGTGGTATAGACTGAAACTGTTATCAGCAGCCTGGCTTAAGCACAAGAAGGTGGGCCAGAGTGATTCCTACAGGTAGGGTTATTGCTTCCCTTCAGGCTTCTATCACTTGGAGAGGAGTGCTCTGCCTGAGAAAGATGGCCTCTGTAGTGTGAGGAATGACTCAACACAGGGATCCTGGTGGCTATTCCTTCAGTTCTCTCCCCAGATTCACCAACCCCAGATTCTCTTCAGATTTCTCTAGTTTACTCTGCTCTCTACTGGAGCCCAAGGAACATGGTGGCAAATAACATTGTGTATATTGATCCTTAAGAGTCTCTCTCTAGCTCCAGCCATCTCTCCCTCACAGAGAGAAACCCTGATGCTTTTAACAGCCAGATGTTATCTTGGTTCCTTTCTGTGCTATAGGCTGGGGAGCCTACCTTGGGGTTTAGATTCCAAACTTCTCAGGGGGAACCTCTCAGTAATCAAATTTCCCTCTGGAACCTTAGCTGCCACCCATGGGAGCCTTGTCAGCTCTCTCATGTCTCCTCCTCACTCCCTACCAGTCTCGCTATGGTGAAGTAGCTTCTTTTGTCTGTCCTTGGTTATAAGGCTTCTCTCCAGCTAGGGTTCAGTTGGTTATTCAGGATGATTTCTCTACAATTTAGTTGTAATTCTATATTGGTTTGGGCAGGAGGTTAGTGTAGCTTTCATTTACTCCTCC